GATGCGGGGCTCGATCCCAGGACCCTGGGATCATGACCTGAGCCGAAGGCAGACGCTTAACCGACTGAGCCACCCAGGCGCCCCTTAAATATTTTATTTATTTATTTGAGAGAGAGAGAGAGCATGAGAAGGGGGGAGGGTCAGAGGGAGAAGCAGACTCCCTGAGGAGCAGGGAGCCCGATGTGGGGCTCCATCCCAGGACCCCGAGATTATGACCTGAGCTGAAGGCAGACGCTTAACCAACTGAGCCACCCAGGAGCCCCTGATTTATATTTCTTTAACATTTAAATACAATTGGTCATGTGTTCTTTAGTCTATCTTCTGCTATAAACTACCTGATCTAGACCCCTGATTATTTCTTGGGTGGTGAGGGGAGAAGCCTTGGATCCATGTTTATTCATACTATTTGGGGGCAATGATATTAATCTTCATTTATATTTGTTATAAGTATGCTATTATTTCCAGTCCATCTTGTTATTTCCTTTCCTGTTTGTGTTTCTACTTCAACTCTGTGTTTGAATGTTTACAGCTGTGGACTACTGTGCCTCAGAGAACCACGGATGCGAACATGAGTGTGTGAATGCCGATGGCTCCTACTTTTGCTGGTGCCCTAAAGGATTTGCTCTTAACCCAGATAAAAAAACATGCACAAGTAAGTTACATTAAAAAAATTTGTTTGTGTGTGTGTGTGTGTTTTTGGACAGTTTTTGGACCTGACATTCTATTTATTTACTTACTTTTATTTTAATTCCTGTGTAGTTAGCATACAGTGTCATATTAGTTTCAGATGTACAATACGGTGATTCCAACAACAATAACAGCATTTTTTTTTTTTTTTGATGCTCTTGTTGTGGGCAACTGTGGCCATGGGACCTCTCCCAAGCATATTGTAGCACAGGATTATGTGCTGGGGAATCTGATCCCTTCTGCCTCTATTCCTCCTTTGTCAGGCCTTTCTTCCCTCATCCCACGACTGTAGCCTACCCTGTCTCGACCTCACTCTTTAAGGCCTTTGACAGAGGTTATCTTTTATTGGAGACCACATGTGGGAGTGTTCTTCCAGCATCTGCTGAGTGTGCTGACAGTCGGACCATCTTACTTCATGCTGGCTCAGCCAGGCTGTGCCCATCAGTATTAACAGAGCTTGAAAAATACTTTCACTGAAGCCTTGTGGCTTGTGGGCTTCAGCTCTGACTCCATACAAGTACAGGAAAATCGCTGAGCCTAAAGGAGTTGAATGTGGTTGCTTTGGGGTGGGGGAGGGGTGGGCAGAGGGCGGTTTGCAGAGTATTGCTCATTCTTTTGTTTGACATATTTAGTTCTATTTGATTTTAACTGAACATACACAAGTCAAAATTAATTTGAGCTCCCAAAATCTGACCATAAAAAATTTATAAAGATGTTTTGCAAAAGGATTGCAAAAGCATTCTTTTACATGTAAAGGTATGTCAGAGCACTTAAGAGGTTGTGTATGGACTATCATCCTGTAGAGGGGTTCACTTGAGAGAAGCTTGGTTTTAAGGTGTTAGGGCTCAGCATTTTTAAAAAGTGTTGTTGTTGTTTTTTTAAGATTTTATTTCTTTATTTGAGAGAGAGCGCGCGCATGGGAGAGAGCACAAGAGGGAGAAGTAGAAACAGGCTCCCGACTGAGCAGTGGGGCTCCATCCCAGGCCCCCAGGATCATGACCTGAGCCGAAGGCAAAGGCTTAACGGACTGAGCCACCCAGGTGCCCTAAAAAGTGAAGTTTAACAGCAGGTTAGCATAAGTCATCTCTAAAACATACATCAGTGAGAAAATAGGATTTCAATTCATAAAAAGTTCATGCACCCACAACCTTTCTAAAATAAATCGATTATGTAAGGCAGGATATACTTGCACAGTGTTTTAAAAAGAGTCCCCCACACAACTCCTGGAATATAAACTTGCCCTTCAATCCCTAATCATCAGCAGCTCACAAACCACTGGAACTGGAGGTAGGGGTGAGCGTGCAACTGCAAGGGACACATTCAGTCAAAACATATATTTCTGGAGCCCTAAAAATGTGCCAATAGCAATGAACAAGGCGAGGTCCTTCCTGGAGAACAAGATACCTGGGCTGAGTCTTGAAGGCAGAGCCTGTCATTTATTGACCGGACAAAGAAGGCTGAGACAGGGGTGGCCAGGAGGAGGAAGGAAGTGCAAAGATACGAGCCAGACAGGCTCAGGCACATGCCTGGCACAGGACCTACACGCAGTTTATTGAAAGAAGAAGTGAATGAATGAGTGGACTCCTCTGTGCCTAGTCTCCCTTCCCTTCTGAATTTTCGGAACCATAGGCCAGCAGCCTGGACTCTGGTCCTGGCTGGGAATGTGGTTGCTGGGCTGGTAGGTCAGTTCTCTTCATCAGAGAGGAGGCCATGTGATGCCAAGGGGCAGTCTTCAGCCTCAGATCAAATTCTGCTCTTTTGCTGCATGATCTTGGGCAAGTTATTTGCGCCTCAGTTTCCTCAACTAATAAGGGATAATAATGCTGCCTGCTTCATAGTGTTGTCTTGAAAACTAAATGAAATCATCCATATAAACCATTAGGCAAAATTGTCTGGTGCTGGGCAAGTTCTTTTAAGGGATGATACTGCCTTCAAAGACTTTAAATTGGTATTTATTGAGCATATACCACATGCCTGACCTAAGTTTAATAGTGCATAAAAAATCAAGACTTGGCCCCAGGCTTCCACTGGGATAAGACTTGGAGGAAAACACACATTCTATCCAGTCTCCCTCCTGCCTCTGCAGAACTCCGTCCCTGCCTGGGGTCCCCATCCCCAGTTCCCAGTGCCTCATGATCACCCCCACCCTGTGGCTCAGCATGTCTCCTATCCCAGAAGCTCTTGGGACGTGGAGGATTACAAGCCCCAGGATGGTGCAGGCAAGGGGACCCTGGCAGTGGGCACTGAAGCGCAGGGGCCCTGGGAGGAGAGTCTTGCTGGGAGGCAGGGGCCAGCCTGGTCCAGCTGGGAGGCCTTACCAATTAAGCACGGAGCCCAGCAGTCCAGCTGCCTCTGGGCCCTGGTAGAGTCAAGACCCAGAGGTCTCAGGGCAGAGAAGAGTGCTGGGCACTTATAGGGGTCTGGGCAGGCAGCACTGGGGAGATGTGTCCTCTAGAAAAAGGACCCCCTTCCTCCCATGCTTGGGAGCAGGGCGAGGGCTAGACCTGGGGAGGTTACTGGTGAGAGGAACGGGACCCCCGGCTTACTTGGAAAGCTGAGAGAGTGGGAAATAAAGCGAAACCCAGCAGTAAGAACCGAGAGCCTTGGGAGCACCCCACATCTGTGAGGGACAAGAACGAGAACTGTGGAATAGGGGCCAGTTAAAAAGACAGAAACAGGATGGAGGCGGAAACTCAGAATCCAGGCAGCCATCCCATTAGTAATTAATGAGACATCGTGTCAGCTTCCAGCCAACTCCGCCTGGGTGCTCCCGTGATGTTGAGAGAGCTTTTAAAAAATTTTTCCACTTCTCATAAACTTGCAGAAAGTGAAATAAAACAAAAGATACGCAGTCCCTTAAATGTTGTCTCTCTTTTTAACCAAGAGTATATTTGAGGGCTTCATCCAATTAGTAAGTATATAATTATTGTCTGGAAAAGGAGACTGTCAATGTGATCTACCAAAGCATGATTAATTTATGATTAAGCCAAAATATACATAATAGAGCTTTATGTTCCTGAACAAATAATATAATTTAAAATATGTAAGTACTCAGGGCACCTGGGTGGCTCAGTTGGTTAAGCAACTGCCTTTGGCTCAGGTCATGATCCCGGGGTCCTGGGATCGAACCCCGCATCGGGCTCCCTGCTCAGTGGGGAGCCTGCTTATCCCTCTCTCTCTATCTCCCCTGCTTGTGCTCTCTCTTTCTCTGTGTGTGTCAAATAAATAAATAAAATCTTTTTAAAGAATAAATAAATAAAATATGTAAGTACTCAAAAAAGCACCACTTTTTATATCAATTCTTTATATCTTTATGTCAATCCTGAAGCAACCCATCCAAACCTATCTGAATATTTTGTAGAGGGGAGAAGAGTAGAAATAGGCAGGTACCATTAATTTGCAAAATATTGGCAAGACTTTTTTTTCATTACAGTCAAATATATGTATTAAATTTACCACTGTAACCATTTTAAAGTGTACAGTTTGGTCGTGTTAAGAACATTCATGTTGTTGGGCAACCATCTCCACCATCCAGCTCCCGAACTTTTCATCTCCCCAAACTGAGACTCATCCTTATTGAATAACTCCCCATTCCCTTCCCAGCCCCCAGCCCCTGGCAACACCCTTCTACTTTTGTCTCTATGAATTCGACTATGCTAGGTCCCTCGTGTACGTGGAATCATACAACATTTGTCCTTTTGGGACTGGCTTCTTTCACTTAGCATAATGTCTCCAAGATTCACCCATTCATGTTGTGGCCTATGTTGGAATGTCCTTCTTCTTTAAGGCTGGGTAATATTCCATTGTACGTAGACATCACATTTTGTTTATCTGTTCATCTGTCACGAGACACCTGGTTTGCTCCTACCTTTGGGCTACAGTGAACAATGCTGCTATGAACGTATCTGTTCAAGCCCCTGCTTTCAAACTGCTAGATCCTATTGTGGCAAGACTTTCTGAGGTCTAATTTGAAACTACCGAGCCAGACATGAGAACATTCTCAGATGTTCAGGGACTTTTCACGGGAAAGATAGAGGACTTCCATCCACCGGACAGGAATTTATGTCTTGGTATCAAGGAGACTGTGGGTTTCATGTCTCATGCGATAATGAGTTAAGGCAATTACAGATATTTGTCATTTATATAACAGCATATTGTTATTTATTATTTACTGACTTGGAGATCATTATACTCATTATTTTTTAGACTCCATTGATAACTGGGTTGACATTTCCATCCTTTTTTCAAGTAGGAATGCTTTGCACAAAGTAAAGTACTACATGAATATTTATATTTTCATTAAAAGTGAAACACAGAAAAAGGGAATAATTTTATACTGAATCAGCAGCATAAAATATAAAATGTGTAAAATGTATCAGCCTTTGGGTTTCCTGGCCAGCTCATGGTTAAGCTACTGTAATATGCCACTTTTGTGAGAACAGTGTGCATGAATCAAAGACTCTCAGTTAGAGGCGGCCTTAAAGTTCAACCTAGTTCTAGCCCAACCACCGCATCCTACAATATTCCCACCATGCCATCGTCCAGCCTGCACTTGAATACTCCTACTGACAGGACACTCACTACACCCCATGCAGTGCATTCCACTTTGTGCAGCTCTGACTCTTAGAAAGTGATTCCTTAAACTGAGCTGATAACTACTACCTTGCACTTTGAAACCAACAGAACAAATTAAGCTTCTTGTATTTTCTTGGCCACTGAGACTGAGTCATATCAGAATAACTTTATTTCATTTAGTGGACTAGCCAGGCATGGAAAATGTGGTAAGAACTATCTATACTTTCATAGACATTCAGCCAGTTTGCGGACAAAAGCCCTGTACCCCATAGACCAGATGGAGAAATGTGTGCTGGATGAAAGAATAATTGGTCGGGTCTGTAACTGGCTGAATATTTGTACCCAGAAGATGTTAATTGCTGAGCTGATATCCTCACGGAGGGAGGTTTT